ACTAGTTCTATATGTTATATATAATATAATAGTAGAGAGATGAAAAAACATATGGGGGGACCAGAGCCACTCCAGGCCTAGGAGTGGCTCCGCCGCCACTGTGTGGAATGAAAATTAAAATGGAAGATCTAATGTTTAATGATTTGGGACTTTTCCCCTACTGCTGTGAGAGATCTAATGTTTAATGATTTGTGTCAGGTTTCTACCCCTAGATTTGTTGTTGTTTAGTGTTTGTGCTGGGCGTTAGCCCTCCTCTTTACCAAAAAATTTAATAAAATAAAATAATGGAAGATTAAGAAACAAAGTAAAACCTTTTACCTATGCAGGTAAGTCAAACCTCTAACCAAATTCACACCTAATATTTTCACATTAGGATCCGTAAATGCGGTACATTTACACGGTAATATTTCCACATACCCTGACCAAATTCACCAACATTAGGATTACTAGGTAATAATTGATCAAGTTTGATTGTGGGCGGAAGGTGCCAAGGGCTGCAGGTAAAAGTCTACTAACCACATTTTACATCTCTCATATAATTGTTTGGACCCATATGCGAATATAAATGAGTCCAACTTTTACAAAAACTAGAGCAAGTAATAATATATTATGATAACTCAAGGCCAGCTTATTGCCACAAGATTAATGATGAATACGTACAAATTTATCAGTGCTGGTTGATTGTAGCTTCTGTTGGTGAGAGATTATTAGTGCTTTTCCCTTTTAGGCAATCACGTAATGCAGGCGAAGGCCTGCAGGTTTTGCTCATCCGCTTCCTAAAATCCAAGAAGTCTCCCCTCTATAAAATCAGACTTCACTTCATCCCAACCATATTACTAACCAACTTCTGTCCTTCCTTCCATCACAAAGAACACAAACACAAGGACTTACGTAGGAGAAATATTGAAGAAATTAAGATGGGGGCTAAAACCATGAATATGATCCTTGCAATAGCAGTTGCAGTGTTCATGCTACATGGAACAGACGCTGCAGAATACACAGTAGGAGACGACCTGGGTTGGACCATTCCACCGGGTGGCGCTGCCACGTATGCTTCATGGGCTGCCGAGCACAGCTTGGTAGTAAACGACTTTCTAAGTGAGCTATACTTTTCCTTTTATTACTTGTTCTTTTTGTTTTTGGGAGTGTTGTTGGCATGGCATGCCATGGCATGCATTTCGCTAATTAATCTATATGGTTTTGTTTGTGCACTGTACAGTCTTTAACTTTGCAGTAGGAGAACAAGACTTGGCTTTGGTGACCAAGGAGGATTTTGATGCGTGCAACACCGCGGAACCCTTAGTTGTGTTCAAAGAACCAGGAGAATTTCAATTTATAAAAGAGGGCACGTTCTATTTGACCTGCACCTTCGCCGGCCATTGCGCCAAAGGCCAAAAGATTGCCCTTTACTTCGCTCCCACTGCATCTCCAAGTCCAAGTTAAAGTCAAAGTCAAAGTCAAAGCGCTGATGATGCTGATGAACAATATGCTGCCGCAGTCAAATTTGTGTCCAAGAAAGAATATGGCTTCAAGAAAATAATACCTGCAGCGATCAAATCTCTCTAGATAATTCCTTGCTAGCTAGCTCGTATTTGCCAACAGGACCTTATGAATAACTAGACGCACTTTGCACTATTATATGTAAGTAGTGCGATCAGAAACCCTAATAATAACATTTGAACTTTCTTTAAGTCCACTCTTGTTTATTTATTTTTTTTTTTTTTGGCCCCGGTATTTTTTATGCCATTAAAACTGCATGCAAGATTAATATTTTTCAAGAATGGCTTAATTAGGCCCGTTCGTTATCGGTTTTGGGAGTCCGTTTTTCACTGAAAACGAGTTCGGTGCTTTTTGTTGTTGTTGCAAAACATAGAAATCGACTTCCGAAAATGAATCCCAACCTTATGCACAAAATTTGAAAACAACAACTTGTTGTTTTCTGTGAAAACGAAAACATGAATTCTCATCTCACTTCACTCTCGACTCAAAACTGAAAGCTCTCTCTCCTCTCCTCATCTCTGCTATCTCGTCAACCTCTCTGTCTCAGTCTCTCACCACCACTGCGATACGCCATCTCTGCTCCTCTCTGTCCTCACCGCAATCTCTCTGCTCCTCACTGTCCTCACCACCATCTCTCTGTTCCTCTCTGTCCTCACCGCCACCTTTGTGTTTGAAACCTTCTCTGTGTGGGAGGATGAGGTTAATAAAGCAAGATGACCAAAAATATAAACACGAATTCTCGACCCAAAAAAAATAATATATGAATTCAACTTTGGGTCTGGGTCATACTTTGGCTTCGGGGCGGGGACTTTTTTTTATATTTTTTATCAGGATGGCTTTTGGGGGACTTTGGGTACCAAGAAATGAAGGTGGGGGGTTTTGGGCGGTGGGTGGGGGAGGGCTCTAGGCTAGAGCCCCTCTGGGGTTGTGGGCAAGGGAGGGAGTGCGAGACAGTGAGAGGATGTAGTTCAGACAGAGAAAGGGGTTTGGGGTCGGGGAGAGAGAGCGAAAGAGAATGGTGCAGTGGGGTTGTGTTTTTTTTTTTTTTTTTCCTTTTAAATAGATCTTTCGTTTTTTTTTATATCTGATTTGTTAACTTTATAAATTAATTAGAATGTTCGTAAAAGATTTATCTGTATTTTTGTTTTGCTTTTCATAGTTTTTTATTTTCTAAAATAGTTTTCCAATTAAGTTATACATTCTTTGTCCAGGTTTTTTTACATTAAATTTTAATTATTGTTTTAATTTTTTCTTTTAGAAAAGACATTAGCAAAAATACACTTTAAAAATAACTCATATATTATTATTCTTAAATTGTACTAACATACACGATTTTACTGTTTTTATTTTCCAATTAATATACCAGACACATTCTCGAGTTCTAAGAAATTTGTTTCATCATTTTCATTCTCCGAAAATGTTACCAAATAGGCATATGCATATAGCAATTTCAAAATCCAGGAAGATGTCAATTGCAAATGGAGGGCACTTTTTATGTTTTGCATCCGTTTGGCTGCTTCCGTTTTATGTCGTGGAAACTGTACGACAAAAAATCGTATCAAAGGAATTAAAAATTGTACATACTAGTGTGAAGTCACTTTAGTGGTTTCAATTTCTAAAAACTAGCAAAAATAAATGAAAAATACTTGTGCAAATTATGTGTGTGAATAAGGGAGACATTGGTTCCTTTGTAACCAAGTCAACCTTTTTGTGTTGGACAATCAGCCAAGGTTGCCAAGGCCTGCAGGTTAGTGTTTTGTAGAATTTAAATTAACTACAAACAAAACAAAGGTTAAAATCCCATTACCCAGCTTGTCGGATTGCAAAACCTTAGTTACGTTTTCTTCAACATAATTAGTAACACAACGGACCCCTTAAATTATAAGTTGTTTAGTACTAGTTCTATATGTTATATATAATATAATAGTAGAGAGATGAAAAAACATATGGGGGGACCAGAGCCACTCCAGGCCTAGGAGTGGCTCCGCCGCCACTGTGTGGAATGAAAATTAAAATGGAAGATCTAATGTTTAATGATTTGGAACTTTTCCCCTACTGCTGTGAGAGATCTAAATGTTTAATGATTTGTGTCGGGTTTCTACGCCTAGATTTGTTGTTGTTTAGTGTTTGTGCTGGGCGTTAGCCCTCCTCTTTACCAAAAAATTTAATAAAATAAAATAATGGAAGATTAAGAAACAAAGTAAAACCTTTTACCTATGCAGGTAAGTCAAACCTCTAACCAAATTCACACCTAATATTTTCACATTAGGATCCGTAAATGCGGTACATTTACACGGTAATATTTCCACATACCCTGACCAAATTCACCAACATTAGGATTACTAGGTAATAATTGATCAAGTTTGATTGTGGGCGGAAGGTGCCAAGGGCTGCAGGTAAAAGTCTACTAACCACATTTTACATCTCTCATATAATTGTTTGGACCCATATGCGAATATAAATGAGTCCAACTTTTACAAAAACTAGAGCAAGTAATAATATATTATGATAACTCAAGGCCAGCTTATTGCCACAAGATTAATGATGAATACGTACAAATTTATCAGTGCTGGTTGATTGTAGCTTCTGTTGGTGAGAGATTATTAGTGCTTTTCCCTTTTAGGCAATCACGTAATGCAGGCGAAGGCCTGCAGGTTTTGCTCATCCGCTTCCTAAAATCCAAGAGGTCTCCCCTCTATAAAATCAGACTTCACTTCATCCCAACCATATTACTAACCAACTTCCTTCCTTCCTTCCTTCCATCACAAAGAACACAAACACAAGGACTTACGTAGGAGAAATATTGAAGAAATTAAGATGGGGGCTAAAAGCATGAATATGATCCTTGCAATAGCAGTTGCAGTGTTCATGCTACATGGAACAGACGCTGCAGAATACACAGTAGGAGACGACCTGGGTTGGACCATTCCACCGGGTGGCGCCGCCACGTATGCTTCATGGGCTGCCGAGCATAGCTTGGTAGTAAACGACACTCTAGGTGAGCTATACTTTTCCTTTTATTACTTGTTCTTTTTGTTTTTGGGAGTGTTGTTGGCATGGCATGCCATGGCATGCATTTCGCTAATTAATCTATATGGTTTTGTTTGTGCACTGTACAGCCTTCAACTTTGCAGTAGGAGAACAAGACGTGGCTTTGGTGACCAAGGAGGATTTTGATGCGTGCAACACCTCGGAACCCTTATTTGTGTTCCAAAAAACAGGAGGATATCGATTTCTAAAAGAGGGCACGTTCTATGTGACATGCACCTTCGCCGGCCATTGCGCCAAAGGCCAAAAGATTGCCCTTTACTTCGCTTCCTCAGGCGGATCTCCATCTCCAAGTCCCGCTGCAAGTCAAAGCCAAAGTCAAAGTGCCGATGATGCTGCCGCGGTCAAATTTGTGTCCAAGAAAGAGTATGGCTTCAAGAAATTAATGCCTGTAACGATGAAGTCCCTGTAAATATTCCTTGCTCGCTGTATAAAGCTTGCCAAGAAGAGTACTAGTATTATCTTCTTATGAATATTAAAATTATTATTTATATTTAAGTCCGTTCCTTGCTAGCTAGCTCGTATTTGCCAACAGGACCTTATGAAACTAGACGCACTCTGTACTATTATATGTATGTAGTGCGTGATCAGAAACCCTAATAATAGCATTTGAACTTTCTTTAAGTCCACTCTTGGTTTTTTTTTTCTGCCCTTTGTCCAATATAGGTCCCTACAATTTCTATTTCCTAGACATATACTCATCATTCTATAAATCTATGTGTAAAACCCAATTTCAAACTTAAATGACCAGTAAGATATAAGAGGTCGTAGTATTCCTATGTTTAGTGCTCATGGATGTGACATTAAGGAAGGATATTATCCTGAATGAGTTTCGAGGCGAGCATACTCTTGCAGGGTACGGGTCACATGTACTCTTGGAGGACTCACCTAAGTGAAGTGAAAGTAGTCGTGAGGCCGCGACTATGAGAATTGGGTTGTTCTCTAATAACTTTCATGAGAATCAAGATTAAGTGCATGGCCATTAATAGCGCTAACTCGCGCCAAGTTATGGATCGTTACCGTGTGTGTAATGTAATTTGAATCAAAGGGGTCTAGTTCAAGACATAGGTCACTATGATTCCTTCAAATGAAAACTATTCACACTAAGTGTAGGTTCAAGTCCGGAAGACACCTACACCCATTGCACGGTATACAAATTGCCCAAATTTCCTCATCTTTACTTGTTTTTCATTTTGACTATTCCTTATGAAGTTTTGAATCTTGTGGGGATTGTTAGTTGTTTATTATTTTATTTTATTTTATTAAAGTTCAAAACTTATTATTGTTGTTATATATTTAATAGTAATAATTATTTATTTTAAGAGTCATATTTGTTGACCCAATAGACGTGACTTTATAAAAGGGTGTGTGGAGTCTTATAAATAAGGGCTTGTCCAATATAGGTCCCTACAATTTCTATTTCCTAGACATATACTCATCATTCTATAAATCTATGTGTAAAACCCAATTTCAAACTTAAATGACCAGTAAGATATAAGAGGTCGTAGTATTCCTATGTTTTTACATCATTGCCATCATATTTCATATTTTATTTATAATTAATTCCAAGCATTTCATTAACTGCTACAATTGTAATTAAAACTCCCTATTAATAGCATATCAATCACCCCATTTCTTTTGGTTGCCATTCCCTCTAACATATCGCCCCCTAAAATTGCAAACCAAAAATATATATATGTAAATTACATGTCTAATAATGTACATATGAAAAATATAAATATAAATATATAGGTATATTATTACCAAATTTTTTAAAAAAAAAATAGGTCAGTTACTTTGTAATTGATATTTCCGTACATTTTTCATAAATTAAAAATAGATACACAATAATTTATAGAAAATAGGTGCGTTGTATAATTGAAATTTGTACACAT